TGATAGTAATGAAAGGTGTGACCCAAGTTAGTTTTATCAGGGCTCCACGGTGAGTGTCACCGTACTTGTTAAAAAGTATAGAATGTATAACACTCCTATGCTGGTAGGGGTTGCCAGAGGCCTTATTAAATTTTTGTGGGTTAGGGCTTGATAAAAACGATGAGGCACCTTATTCGATGATGTTTTGGCTATGGAGAAAGCAAGCTCACATGAGGTAAGAAGCTCTATATTCTTAGAGTAATTTGTGTACGTAATCAGTTGTCCTCTTTTCATGCTAAATATGTGGTAATTATAAAGGCATATAGGCCTAGGTCAAGGGACTCTTAAGAAGAGACAATTGCTCCAACTTGACTAGGGAAACTGTTAACTGCACACTTCTTAAGAAGTCAAGGGTATGACTGCGCACAAGAAATTATGGACTAAGTAAGCGTCGTGGTCTATGTTTTACCTTAGGGTGAGCCCACTACTACGTGATGGTGACACATTATGGGACGGGCACCTGGTGAGACAAATCATACACCACCTCAATTGTGGGTCCTAACAAATATATCACGACTCTCTAAACATATGAAGGTTAGACACTATTTTATTAGGGATCGCCTTAAAAAAAGGGAATGCATACTTAAATTTGTGACTTAACTAGGAATCTTAAGTCAATAATGCATGAATTAATATGCTTATGTGCCCCTTCTCCTTCTTCTTATTCCTCTCTCTAAATAATGATATGTGAATTATGTTCTATGTTTGTTTCCTTCTTCTTCACTCATCTCTTGTGCTTGGACTCACTTGTCTAATATAGACATCATTTCCTAGTTCAAAGTTTCCAATGAACGAGAAATTTTTGGATAACCTAAAGAGAAAGTCAGTGTAACCTTCATAGCAACACCAAGCAAAACCCTAGCCTTTGGAAAGAGGTTAATGCATGCATACATTACAATTTCACCAAAAAATGTATAACTATACTTTAGAAATAATTAATTATATGTAAGATGTATGTGCTTCTAATTTTCAGGATTCACCATATTTGGAGTCTGAGCTTCAGGAAACAACCCGTACATACCAAATGCAACATCAACAAATTCAACCTTCCGGGAGCTTTGGGACAACATAGAACTTGGATGCGTATTTAGAGGAAGAGATTCTTAACTACAAAAATGGAGGATAAGATGAGAGCCATGTTCTACAAAGGAGAAGAAGATATTGCAAATTTATAAAAGTATATGATTTATTAGATATGTAAATATGATTGATCAAGAGTATGAAAATCGAACATAACTTATTAAAAGATAAGAATGATGATTGAACTTCATTAGATAATCTTCTTAACTTCTATATATTTAAGATGGTGAAAGTTGAGCCATACTTACATAATTTACTTTTTCCTTGTATACGAGTTTCTTCATGCAATTGTTTATTTTTAAAAACTTATGATTTTTTCTTTATACAATTTTTTATTGGAATTTTGTGCCTTTCTAACCACCCTTGTATTATATTATTCGTTGTCATCCCTTTTGAATATTATCCCAATTCTTTATTACAAAAGCCATATTATAAGCCCATGATGCTAAATTAATTGTTATTATTTACTCCAATTATAATACTAGATGATCTCCCAAAAAAAAACATTATCCAGAAAATAACTAGCTTTGTAAACATAAGACACAATAGTATCTTGATTTGTTAACAAATTTAAACCTTGATTCCCTACGTAGAAAAGGTGAAACCATAACCTATACTTTCATATTCTTTCCCATTCTACAATTTGTCCCAATTTAGTCAATTGATGCCTCCTTCTCATCTTCTATTTGATCCCCGCCAAAATGAGTTTAACATTATTTACAACTCCTTTTCCAAAGTTTTGGTAAATGAAAGGTGCTTACATAATATGTGGGAATTGATCTTGTCACTGATTTGATCAGGACTTCTCTCCATAATTTGGATAAATCCTCTCTTTTCATAATTGAATTTTATTTTAAACTCTAACCCATAAATATTCGAACAAAGAATTCGCGTACCTCCCAGTCATTGATGATAAGCATGCATATTTTCCAGAGCCCGTATTTACAACTACTTAAAGTGTGTTTTTAATTCTTCTTTATCTGGTAGTAATGAGGATCCTCGAGACATCAAATATGACCATGGTAGCCGTTATGACCAGAGGAAAGATGTCATTTGGGATCCTGCCTACCTTTTCACTGTCTCAGAATTCTAAGATAGGTCTTTCTGGTTCTCTGATCGAAGTCTTCCCCACTTCTTTGTTCACGACCATCAGCTCGACGATTTTCCTCTTTATCGTCCTGTTGGATTGGTTCTTTTCCCTTTGAAGACCACCGATAATGAATGCAATATACTGGTGTTTTCCTTTTTGGTCTTCCTATTATTTACTATTGTTGTCTTTTCCCCTCTGGCTCCAGTCACAACCTCAATAGCTTTTTTAGGGGATGGTTTTTCACGCCGGGGGGTCTTTTCTTCTTTGGCGAATCTTCTCGACTATTACAACCTATCTTATGGTCTCAGACTCCCTTCCAATCACCATCAAGAGTGTACTCAGTAAGTCACCCCTTCATAATCATCTCCTTTATCACATCCTTCAAACGTGTTAACTCATTTGTGTTATAGATTTGACTCTTGTAGAAACACAATTATTTATTCTTGTCTCTCCTGAATGATTCTTTGACCAGGTAGAGAGTGTATGCGTTAAACCTAGACCGAGTTCTATGATCCTCATCTTCTATATGATGATCATTATCGTTTTCAGGTGTCTGTCGTATCCAGAGTTCCATGCTCCCCGACCTCTGTCTCCTTCTTTAGCCAAGAGCTCTTCTTCCTAATTGATATAAGGTTGATCTCTATTCAGCGAATCACTTAGAATACGGGCTCTCTCGATCCCTATATTTTCTCAGAACATGCAATTCTGTCTTAAACCCTTTTTGAACATCCAACATTTTAGTCTGTCATCCTTGTCCCATACTGCTACTGCCACTTTTGTGAAACAGTGAATGTACTTACACAAGGTTTTTTTCTTTCTCTGAGTGACCCTGGTTAGCACAACAATAGTCATGGTGGCCACTTTCAATAGTAAAATAGGCAGTAAAGGCGTCACACATATCCTTTCAAGAGTCTATACTCCCATCAATAAGGGTTTTGAACTACGTCATTGCAACTACGATCAAGGTTAGCACGAAGAACTTGCACCCCTTAGGTGAGGTAGTAATTCAACGTGTTATCTACATGCTTAACAAGTTTATCAGGATCTCCGATTACCTCATAAGTTTACGTTTTAGAGGCTTTTCCAAAGACCTAGAAATTCTGCTATCGAGGATGCCGACAAATAACATGTTCTTCTTTCACTCCGAAGTACGAGCATTTGCGTTATATCTTACCATTCTTCAGGGATTATGTGTTGGTGAATGATGGGGATGATAAACCTCGCAAGGAGTATGACTGTCACTTCTTCCTTCATAATTGAACAATGGCGTACTTGTGCCAATAGGAATTGACTATGGTGCGATGATCTGATCACTTTGGAAGTTTGTCTCCCGTACGATATTATCCCTTGGTGGAGAACACTAAATGCTATCTTTAATTGTGAGTATCCTCTCAACCATATATTGTGAGTTATGCTGGTGCGTTAAGTTGTAGACGTTGTTTAGCAAGTCTGTGGAACCTTTCACTTTGAGATTCGCTTGCTATAGTTGATAGCTTTGGAGTATTTCCTATCCAGGTATAACAGGTAGCATAAGAGGTCGTTGTGATGGTTTACTCTAGTGAGGTTATTGAGCAGATATGAAGGACGAGAGAGTTTGAAACACTACTTGACTAACTCTTGGAGGAGCCAAATCTTGTTGTGTAGTAAGATGGAGATGCCACTAGAACTTGACCGTGATTTGTTGGAAAATGAGGAGGAAGAGGCAGAACTTTGGCAGCTTCACGACAACAACAACAACAACAATAACTTGTCTTTAAATGACACATCAAATGACTTTGAATATCACCATGCTTGATGAATATGATGATACATCTATTCGGGGAGCAGTTTAAAACTTCAACAAATAAGATTAATGATATGGATCTCTGGTTGAGAAATAATGGTTTTTCATGAAAATTAGCGAAAATCAGAAGGCGATTCACATAAATGGAACTATTGTTCGGTTAGAAACTAGAAATGAAAGATGAGATAGTGGGGTTGTATCTCACTACAGTGGAATTGAAATTGACACCCCTTTCACTTATATATCAAAAGCAGTTAAAACTTACCCAGATATGATACAACGTATTCTCCAGACAATCGTCAAATTGAATTAGACTATGATTGATGCAAGAAGAGTAAAATTGACTTCTTCTAATTAAAACGAAGATACATATACTCCATGTCTTTCGACTCAAAATTCACTCTTATTTTTTTTCTATAAACCCGGGGAACGACACAAAATGCATTTCACATTTCTTCTTAATTTAAACACTTCTAATTTTTCACATAAAATTCTTATAACTTTTAGATTTGTCTAATTACAAATTGTTAATATTTCCATTTATATACTTAGAAGATTTAGTTTAAAGGGTATACAATTGTTTGATGTCTCATCAAGTTGTATGATTTATCAATAAAAACCATCAAAAAGAAAACATACGTAAGAAAATAAAAAAGTAGTTTCAGTTAATTTCAACAGCACGTGCCAGATACCAAACCATCGGTCCAGATGAAAGAGCACTAACCCAATCCAAGGGCCAAAAACTCATCCGTACAAACTCTTACTTATCGACTAGCAACGGTTCAAACCCTCCCACGTGTTCAAAAGATAAACGTTATTAACCCTTCTGATCCAACGGATCCTGCTCATTACCTCCCAAAAATACAAACCCTCACCGTTCCGTTTCACACTTTTCTTCTCGCCGGAGCCACCGTCAAACACCGCTGTCCACAGTCGCCGCACTCACAATACACCGATTTCAAGTTCCACAAAACTCGCAAGTTCAACTATCCGACGCGTTTTGTTCAGCTTTCAATAAACAGCGCTTCAATTTCACGCTGAGTCAAACCGATTCGTGTGGCGCTTCCAACTCGTTAGAACCGAATTCTGATTCTTTAATTCTCATTCAGTTATATTCAATTTGAGCTCATAATTCCAACCTAAATCATAACAACACTTCAATTTCAGATTCCGGTGAGTTTCCAAGTCAAAGCGATCCGAGCTGAGTTCTGGACTCGTCGGCAACGAAATAAGATTCGAATTGAGGAGTTGAAGATTCAAAAATGGCGGACTCCGACAATGATTCCGGCGGTCCACACGGTGGCGGATCGAGCGCTCACGGCAGCGAGATGTCACCGAGAGAACAAGACCGTTTCCTTCCGATAGCAAACGTAAGCAGGATCATGAAGAAGGCACTTCCAGCGAACGCGAAGATCTCAAAAGACGCAAAAGAAACAGTTCAGGAGTGCGTTTCGGAGTTCATCAGCTTCATCACCGGCGAAGCCTCCGACAAATGCCAGCGCGAGAAGCGGAAGACGATTAACGGCGACGATTTGCTGTGGGCGATGACCACGCTCGGGTTTGAAGAATACGTGGAGCCTCTCAAAGGTTATCTTCAGAGGTTTAGGGAGATGGAAGGAGAGAAGACGGTGGTGGCGCGTGACAAGGACGCGCCTCAAGGTTCTAATAGTGTTAACAACAGTTCGTTTGAGAGTGGTGGTAATTATGGTGCGGGAATGATGATGCATCAAGGACACGTGTATGGTTCTGGTGGATTTCATCAAGTTATGGGTAAGGGTGGGCCTGGCTATCCTGGGCCTGGGCCTGGACCTAATTCTGGTAGGCCCAAATAGGCTTTTTCCACTCCGAATCAATTTGAATGTACACATTCCAAACAAATCAAGATGTATATTTCAGAACAAATCAAGAATTTGTGTATTATCTAGGGGTATACTTGGAAACTTATGTGTGAATTGTGATCACACTTTTTAGATAATGATGGAGATTTGGTTTGGGTATTTTGTATTTTGATATCATTGGTGATTGATGACATTCTCTCAAGTCAAAGCAATTTGTAATGTTGTACTACAATAGAAATAGTGCTTATTTGTATTGTAAGGTGGTCTAATATTTTCCTTTTACTATGAAGTGGAGTTAAGTTGAATTTAAATTATCATTTACTTTTCTATATATATACCTAAGGATCCCGTCAAAAAAAAAATTACTTAAGAAACTAACTACCACCAAAATCTCAAAACAATTCTTATACATATTTTTATTCTAAGACATGTGTTTTTTTTTAAGGTGAATAGGAAACATAAATATATTTGTATTAAAATATTGATTATTTGTATTACATCTAATTATCTTATGTAGTTAATTTAGAGAAATTTGTATATAATTTTTAGTTACTATTTTTCAATAAAAATTATATATATAATTTTTATTTATTTTTATTTTTTAAACGATATTTAAATGCACTTGTCATATTTTCTTTAAAATATAATAAAAATATATTTAAACAACTGTATCTAAAATTTCTCATAATAATTTTATTTATTTATTTTATTTTATTTTACATGTCTTTTTTTTCCTTGAAAAAAATCAAGTATACTTTTATTCATTCAAGAAAGTGACAAATTGTTATTTGTCAAGTTTATCATTTTTTATATGTTAAATTAGTCAATAAAAAATAGTCATTCTAAAAAATTCATTTTAAAAATTAGTCACTAAAAAATTGTTGTACCATATACTATTTATGCAGAAACTATTGTTAAATTTAAGCTTTTCTTTATCTTCATAATATTAAATTAAGATTAAAGAATTAGTTAAAGTCAAACTTATAATACATTAACAATACCTCTCTTACACTTTAATTTTATTAAAGTTTATTTTTTAAAAATAAATCACTTAAAAAGTCATTCAAGCATATAATTTATATATGAAAGGAATGGTTGTTTTTGATTAATTAGTTTATTAATTAATTTTATACTTTTTATATTTATTAATTAAAATAAAAATATTATAATATAATAATTTGAATTTAATATATTTTTAATAAAAAAATTCTCACTAAATTCACTCATATAACCTTTTTATATTACTATTACTTTTAAATTGTGACATTTCACTCTAGTTTCTTAAGAAGCTTTTGTTTCAAGTCTAAAAAATATATTTTTGCTAATATATGGGTGGGCAGGGGCGGCACATGTAAGACTCAGGGGTGCAGATGAACCCTTTCAAGTTCTTAAGTTAACATCAATTATTGTGTATAGTTTTTCTTCCTGCACTCCCTCAAATTTAATCATTGCACCCAAGTTCTTAAGTTACCATCAACTAGTAACAAACCCATGCTATCGCACGGGTCTCGTCTGGGTTCACATTACATTTATAGATTATTAAATTATTAAGTATGTTACCATGTTTTCAATTGAGTATATGTCTCATGTAAACCATGTTGGCATTTAACTCCATATTTATAGTAAGCGTCAGTCCTATCAACAAATCACGTCTGCATGAACAAATAGGAAAAATTATATACTTCTTGAAATACATGGAAAATGTACATACTATATATTTTAATTCAAAATAGATTTTTAATTTGAATCGTAAAGTATAAGATATAAAGTTTACCAACTATCAAAGTGCTTGAAAGACTTCCTTGTACACAACATTAGTAGTAGTAGAACACGGTACATTCTCCTTGTCATGAATTAGGATTTTTAGCCCACTTTTGCTCTTAACTCTTGAAATTGCAACATATAATTGATTATGACTAAACACAGGAGTAGGCAAATACAATCCAACACTATCAAGAGATTGACCTTGTGACTTATTAATTGTCATTGCATAGGAGACAATAATCGGAAATTGTCTCCTAATCAACTTGAATGGCCAAGGTGAATCAGAAGGTGACATAAACATTCGTGGAATGTAAAAAATGTTACCTATGTTCTTTCCAGACATGATTTTTGCCTCAATGACATGATTTGCAAATCTTGTAACAATTAATCTTGTTCCGTTGCACAACCCATCGGCTTGGTCCAAATTTCTCATTAGCATAATAGGTGTACCAACCTTCAATTTGATCCTATGATTGGGAAGCCCTGACGTTCTTAATTTACTGAGAAATTCAGGAGTTAGAACTTCATATGCTTCAGTATAACTTGAATTTGTTCTATCAATGGAATCAAAACTCAAATACTCTTTCTCTTCTCCTAAAAAAAAGTTTAAAAGCAAAACATAAATAAATTAGTAAAACTATGTTCTTAAATATATATATATATATATATATATATATATATATATATATATATATATATATATATATATATATATATATATATATATATATATATATATATATATATATATATATATATATATATATATATATATATATATATATATATATATATATATATATATATATATATATATATATATATATATATATATATATATATATATATATATATTATGAATGTAATAATACAGTAAATATAAAACACATGTACCTGGTATCAAGTCTAATACATAATGATTGATTTTGTCCACAACTTCAATGGTTGAAGCAAGAATAGCCTTTCCTTGTAAGAATTCAACATCTTGATATTTTTCCAACAAATTGGGATATGTGTTTTCAACAATTGCTCTTATAGGATCATCAAAATTTGATATTAATAGCTCTTGAGGAATTTCAATATCAACCAAACCATCATTGGGTTCACAAATCTTACCATCACCCACATTTAAAATCCATTTTGAAAATTCCGCTAGTTCATTAGAACTTGTGTTGTCTCTTCCCTCTTGAAGTCTCATATTTTTTGATAGTGTTAAAACCTGACAATAATCCCATACATAAGATGAACTAATTGATGCATGAACAATATCAGAACGCCCAACTCTTGGAACAACAGGAAGAATCTGTCTAAAATCTCCTCCAAATACAACAACTTTTCCACCAAAAATAGTATTCTCAACACCCTTTTTGCTCATTACATCTTTAAGGGTTTTATCCAATGCTTCGAAGCAGTTCTTGTGAGACATAGGTGCCTCATCCCATATTATCACATCCGTTGCTTCAAATAATTGAGAATGTTCGGTGTCTTTGTCGATGTTGCAAGTTGAGTTGTCAAGCGTTGGCACAGGTATTTTGAACTTTGAGTGTGTTGTTCTTCCACCCGACAATAATAACGAAGCTATCCCACTTGAAGCAACAGTAAGAACAATTTTTTTTTGAGAACGAAGTGCACTTGATAGTGTTCTCCACATGAAAGTTTTACCAGTCCCTCCGTAACCATGCAAGAAAAACACCCCTCCACTCTGTTTGTTAACAACATCCATGATTTTCTCAAATATCAAACGTTGTTCATCTATAAAATACAATCCAACGGTAGGCAAATACAATCCAACGGTATCAAGTGATTGACCTTGGGATTTATTAATTGTCATTGCGTTAGAGACAATAATTGGGAATTTTCTCTTAATCAACTTAAATGATCACGGTGACTCAAAATGTGACATAGACATTCGAGGGATGTAAAAGATGTTATCTATGTTCTTTAGAGGCATGACTAATAAATATAGACTAATAATATGCACTTGTTTTTTAAGCATTAATATGTATTTATAATAAATCATACAGACTATTCACTAACTTCAATTATATAAGATTTAAAAGATGAATATTGAAATTAACAATCTATAGCCAGTATCTCATAGATGCGTTCTCATCTACCCGTGAATTAAGATGATTTAACAAACCCAGTTGAATCCAAATGAATTAGTTCTAAAAATTTATTAAATCTATTTTAGATATCAATCCATTTTTCCAAACTTAAAATATATGACAACTCCCGTCAAATTTATACTTTTATATTATATGTGCTCACATCTACGTGAGTTAACGAACTTCAGTTGAATCCAAATGAATTAATTTTAAAAATTTATTAAACATATTTTATATATTAATCCATTTTTTCAAATTAAAAATGTATGACATCTCCCGTCAAATTTCAATTTTAAAACTTTTATATTATATCATATTTACATATTTTTTTACAACCTATAATGTATAACAGTTTCCCGTTAAATTACAATTATTTTTAAAAAGAACATAAAAAATAAATAAAATTTATAGATAAAACTATTATATATTATTTTCTATATTTATTTAATGAATGAAATTTATTTTAGATGAATTTATTATCTAATTTGTATTTAAAAATATAACTTAATTGTCATTTAAAACAGTACATTCAATTCTTTAACTTCAATTATCTGGTATGTCATAGATACATTTATTCTACCCGTGAATTTATTTTATATACTCAGTTGGTTAATATTAATATAATTACAATATATAATCATTTATCAAATTTGAATTTCTCATTTATAAAAATAATTTTAAATTATTCTCGTTTATAAAAATGAACGCGTGTGTCTATTTATAAAAATATATGAAACTTATACTCTTTTATAAATATAATTGTATCAATAATTGAATTTTTCCGGTTTATAAAAATATTTATAATTTATTCATGTTTATAAAAATTATTATAATTTATTTTTAGTTTGTAAAATTAATTATATTAATATGTAGACTTTTTCTCGTTTATAAGTGTTTTTAACCCGTGTGACAATTTATAAAAACATTTTAACTTATTCATATTAAAAACAATTACATCAATATTTGAATTTTGTTCGTTTATAAAAATATTTGTAAGTTATTTAAGTTTATAAAAATAATTGTAAAAATAAATATTTACCATATCATCTTAAATTTATTTATTCAACAGTGATAAATATGTGTCTCTTAGTTAATTACATTTATAAATAAATATCGTGTATT